AAGGTGGCATTCAGCAGCTCTGCCTTCTCTGCACCCTCAGTGATCAGGGCTGGGCCTCACTCAGCAGTGGGCCCACACTTCCCCTACTGTTCCTTTTACTACTGATAGATTTGAAGAAACCCTTTTTGTTCTCTTTTACTTCCTTTGCTAGTTTTAGTTCTAAGAGGGCTTTGGCATTTCTTATTGCCTTCCTACATGTCCTAACAGTTTCCCTGTATCTCTCCCAAGTGACAAGTCCCTTCTTACATGAGCTATACCTTTCTTTCTTCCAGGAGATTTCCTTCAGAAGCTCCCTGCTCATCCATGCAGGTTTCTTAGCTTGTCTACCCAACTTTTTACTCAAGGGAACACACCTATCTTGGCCTTGGAAGAAGTGGTATTTAAAATTGATCAACTTTCTTGTGCTCTTTTACCATCCAGAGTCTTAGCCCATGGAATTCCTGCTAGTAGACCTTTGAAGAGTGCAAAGTTAGCCCTGTAGAAGTCTAGGGTTGTAATCCTACTTATTGCTCTGCAATAATGAGGAGATGAAAGCAGTGCTTGAAAACAAAAACCACAAAGTCAAGTAAACAGATTTCTGAGGGATTAATTGTGAAGACGGTAAAGATCTTCCAAAGCTGAACTTCCAAAAGCATTTTTATCCTTAACAAAGAAGAAAAAACTAACACACTGGTAATCTCAATCTCAAAAAGAATTACAGTAGAATTACTCAGTAATTGCAGCTGTCACAGGGCAAAGACACATTCTCTTACCCACATACTTGTTCCTTTTTGCTTTGCTCGGTGTCTGAATTCTGCAATTCTTGTATTTTCTTAGACTCTTCATTTTCAGAGAGCGTTGATTCTGATTCTTCATTAATGCATTCACAACAGTTATCTGAATTTGCTGCTGTCACTTCAGTATCTCCTGTTCTTTGTGGTAATTTCTGATATGCCTATTTCAAATTATAATATTTTCAGCAAAGTAGTATCTAACTTGTAAAAAGTGTACCTGTGCTCTCTTTGCATATGTTTAATTCTTATGAATTTGTATGTAAGTGCTTAATCAGATCCATTAGGGATTCAATCTGATTACTAAATCAAGACAGCATTGTAAATTGTACCTCTAAACAGTACCTCTAGTACCAATCTGGAGAATTTCTTAATGTCCAAGCAAGCTATTTTTGTACCATTTACAAAATCAAGTTCAAGCACTCACAAAGAAGACAAAAAAGTCAGAATCTGCTGCTTTCCTCCTAGCACTCAGAGACAAACACACACATCCTGCTGCTGCTGCATGTTTTCTGTAAAAGTGCTACAGCATTAAACTTAGAACAGCATCGAATATTTGGATGACACTTGCTTCTCAAAAAATGCTTTTCCCTTACGGCCACACACATTTTACTCATAAGGTGTTCTCTAATGAAGCAAATTAAATAAAAAGAAACATCTAAAAGGGTTTCACACAAGAAGTTTCTCTCAAAGATATTAACCTCTTAAAGACATCACATCAACTTAAAATCCTGTTGACAGGATTTTAAAGACAATTGACAACAAATGGATTAAAGTCAGATGGTTGAAGCTGCTGCTGCTCCTAACAGTTTTACATTCCTTCCTGCTGCTGCTGATGTACTAATCTGCTAGTGAATCATGCTAGAGCAAGCAGTCACTGAGTAAGATAAACTGAAATTAGAATAAGCTTACATCAGAAAAAAGCCTTCAGCAGAGGGACCACACAGCTGAAGGAAGTGACAGCTTTAGCTCCCCAATCTAATCTGCTTCTGTAATTCTTTTAAAGCCTTAATTTTATGTTTGAGTTTTATCCTGCTACTTTACCATGATTTCAAAATCTCCCCTCCTTTTCTTTCTATTTTAAAAGATTTTTTCAAAAGTGAAGGGATTTCAGAATTTATTAATGACACACTGAATTAAAACTGAAGGGCAGATATAAAACAGTCACAGTATGATTTCTATTATGCAAGCTTTCAAAAAAAAAATCCAGAAATGTTATCAGAAGTTAACACTAACTCTTTTAAAAGAAGTTACCTTAGGTTGGCGTTTATTCCATGGCATTGGAGATTTTTTTATTAACACAGCCACAAAGAAACCACCTGTGTTCTGGTGATGTGGCAATATCCTAAGACTAGGGAGGAAAAAAATCATCAAACTGTTGCAGTGTATTAATCATCAGCATTCAGGCTCTCACAAAGCACTAGATGCGTCACATTTATATTCACTTAGAGGGCAGGCTAAGTATTCCTAGTAGGATTGTACAGATTTAATTTACCAAGCTAGAAACAGGATCTAAAATAGAGCATTCTGACAAATTAACTTGCATCAGTGCAACACATTCATTTCACCATTCATATCTGAGCTTTAATGACTCATTTTTCAATACTATTTTTAGAAGAGCTATGGAAAGTCTTCCATAGGAAGTAAGTCACACTGTTAAAATGTTACAGTTTTACATATTTTTCCAGTAATTTTGGTTATGTATCTCTGTTGGATGCAAAGAACTCCACCTGTTTGTGTGAGTACTTATTTTTTTAAGTAACTTTCAATACCTTCTCTCGGTTGACTGGAATTCAAATATTGTATACTACTATTACACATGAAGCAATAAAAATATACTCAAGATGTACACAAGCATAGGTCTACACTGCAACACATTCCTAACCTGAACTAATTAATCTGCCCACCACCATACAAGGTAATCACCAAAACCTCATCAAGTCTACTCTAGAAAAACTTACCAACGCTCTAGCTTCATTGCCTTTAGCTTCTCTTCATCTTTTACTGGAAACATAGTGGGACGTATTTGAGTTTGTCTATTTGAAGGCACATCTTTCCAGTCTTCAAACCACTGTCCATCTTTCAACATTACCTTCAAAAGAGTAAATATAAATATTGTGAAAAATAAAAGGTCACCACTTTACAAGCTTTTATTAAAATACTTTCAAACCAAGGTTCAGGTTCCAAAATGAGAAGTTCTTTTCTGGTATAGTATATTAAGTTCTTTAGAGTGTTTTGTTCCTGTGCACTTATGAGCAGGAGATTCTTTCCAGCTGCCTCTCTTTGCTCGCTCCACTTTGTATGCTTCACAATGTGTGCTGTCAAGACCAGTGCAGAATTAACTGCAGTGCTCTCTGGTAACCTGCCAGAACAGCAAACACCAAAATCCAAAGGAAGGATAGTGGAGAAATATATGAGAAGATTAGTGAGCCATGTGACTCAAGATACTCCACTTCTCCACAAGACTGGCTGTGAAATGTTCTACTACAGGCAGCTTCCAGGGAGCACAGAAAGGTAAAGGGCTACTGCAGTCTAAGAGATAGAGGAATCCCAATTTCATTACATAAGAAAGATGCAAATGTGCAACACAACAGCTTGGCAAGTATAGAGCCCTGGGACACAGGAGTACCTAAGTCATAGATGGAGACGTTTTCCAGGAAAGTTACTGGAGAACCACATCCCCATGAGTTCTCTAGTACCTGTATCTTTAGCCAGAACTCAGAACACATCTATAAATCCTCTCTTAAGATACTGTGTGGACATATCTCTTCATTCTTTCTTTCTAGGGGTCAAAGGTTTTGAAGAACTCTCAAGATACAAGCAAAAGGTTACAGCTACAACTCTTGTAGCAAGGCATTTTGAATGTTCTTTAAGCAAGAATACAAAAAAAACCACAAACACCAACAAAACCCAACCACCAACAATAAATAAACCCAAACCAACAAAACAGGCCCACAGCACACAAGGGAAAAATTTTACTTCAGAGCTCTAGCTTCTGTACTGGGCTAAGAAACATCACATTTGGGAATGCATGAGGCAAACATAAAATTAATGACTGAATCAAAGGCTGGTTTTGTTGTTAAGGCAACAAAATACAGAAGTCACAGTGATGCTGACTTCGGGACTGGCAAGTACTGTGAAGTGTTTCCCCACATCTTGCTGTGACTGACTTGATGTTTTAAGTGTTCTACCGGAAACTCAAATGTAAAATTTAACTAGATTACAGTTTCACTAGGTATGTGTCCAAATATGCTACACAACATACTGGTAGATGGAGACAAGACAGACTGAGATTCTGAACTGCTCTTTGCAAGTCACGAGTTCAGCTCGAGAGAAACAAACATGGGACTGATAAATAACTGGAAGTGCAACCAAGTCTAGAACTATTTTGGATCTACTAGAGTAACTGCCTAACATCCCTGCTCTATTCGGTTTTGCTTTACCAGCCTACACAATTTAACTGGTAGAATGACAAAGCAATCAAAAAACATGCTGAACATGTCTCTCTTGCACACTTCACTAGCCTCTTGTTAGGGTAGACTGTAGACTGGCAGAGAGATTACCAGATCTGGAGTTAAAATGTCTCTTCCTTCAAGTCTCTGAAATAATTAATTGGAGTTGACTCATTGTCTGGCTTAACGAGAAAGTACGGAATGCCACTTCCATGCATCTAAACGTCCCTTGAACAAAACCTTGTTTTTACTTTGCTGTTTCCAGAGATTTACAGTCACCTGATGCTCAGGAACATTCAATGTAATCACTGAGTCTCGCCAGGAAACAAAAGCCTACACCAAGTTAGAACAGCACTAGAGCAAGCAAACACAGTCAATGATGAGCTAGCCTATGAGGCTTGAAAAAACTACAGTAGTAGCAAATAACAGCTGAAGAAAGTCTTGCAAACCTTCAACAGATTTTATTAGCCTACTTTTAAAAACACTCATTAGGGAGATTTATTTTTCAACTGTAAACACAGATATGTTACAGGGAATACACTATACTCTCAGGGATCTTTACATATATATTTTGTAGCTTTATACAGTAAAATTCATATTATAGAGCCACAGTTATGCATCTTACCTTTATCCTTCAGGTACAAGTACACAATTTAAATTTTTGGAACAGCAAGAAAAAAGAAATCAGCAAGTTTCTAAGCTGGATTTCCAGTGGCAGAACATATGCAAATCTTTATTCCAAGCACCTTGTTCATTAGCCTACACACAAACATAAACCTGCAACTGCAAGAGACTAGTGAAATGGTCAGTAAAGACTGAGCAACCAATGGCCTTGCAAAGGCACATGCTCATAATTAAAATATAATTTAGAGCTTCTTTCACTAGTAACAGGCCTTCTACTCCTCTTGATTATACTCTTAACAAGAAGCTGAAGCAGCTTTGGGGTTGTCCACCCCTCCTTACTAGTTCATTTCCAGAACTGAAATCATATAGCATCTGGAACAAAACAGAAGATTCTATTAATATTCTAGGATTACCCATATCACTGCGGGTTTTATAGTGTATTTCCAGAAAGGGTTTAACAGCGTTTACTTCCAAGTGATTCAAATGGGCCAGCTGAAGAACTGTAGAATCTAACACTCATACTGTAAAGACAGAGGAGGAAGGCTAACTTAAAAACCGCCTGAAATTATGCTGCCATCTACAGGCCACATGCACACAATAGAAAAGGGAATTACACTATGAAAGCATAAGAAGCAGAGCAAAGAAAGCTAGAGTAAAAAGAGGAGAGCAGATGAGAAGACCAGAACTTAACATCCGATTTTTACTGCTCACCTATAATGCTATATTGTCTAAAGCTCTAAACAGCAAATCACTACCATTAATTCAGCTCAACCTAATGTTTTGAAAAGTTACGCTTCAAAATTTCCCTAATTTAACACTCTACCACAGACCAAGAACTTTACAGAAATGCCAGGTTCAGTACCTTCCATTTTGTAATTCCTGGCATCCTCTTCAAACCTGGTAACTCAGAAGAGACATCAGCAAGTTCTAAGGCACCTGAAATTGCAAGAACATAAACATGCTTGAAAACAGAATCTAAGTAACTTTTATGAAAATAGTTTTTGTTCAAGTTTTAAGACCATTTTAAGACAATTGCTTTTTAAAACTTTCAAGGAACAAAATGTTATACAATTAATACCATGTAAATAAACAAGACAGATGGCAAGAAAGAACTGGTCCTAACTACAGAAGTTTGCAAACTATAAACTAAGCAAAATATAATGGGTAGATACTTTTTGTAGCAGCTACATAGAGTGATACTCTGCAAGCTGTATCATTAAACATCAGTGTTCCAGAGAATTAAGTTTTTTGATTTTTTGAATTAAGATTCTCATTTACTTAGTATTTGGATTTACTAGGCTGATAAAGTATTTTTCAGAGAAGTGCTCTTTTGGGATGCTTGATATATTCTTAATTTACGGAGAGTTTCATCTTAAAAAACTTAATATATTCCAATTTGAGAGGAAAAAGTATTTATTATTTTTTAAATTGAAAGTTCCAAACTGTTTAACAGTCAGGTAAGTACTATCAGCTTAATAGGACAAAAGGCTATGTGCCTAAAATATGTCAGATTACTACAAGAAATATCAACAGAAGATAATTTACTGAATAAAAGTTTTAAGCTGCCCCAAATCCAGGATTTATATAAAAAACTTACTGTTTTAACAAGTGACCTCTCTAGTGAAGATTAACCTTAAAATTTCTTGTGTGATTCTGAATACTTAACTAACAGTCAGGCTTTTCCTTATATTGTACACAATTTATCAATGTGTTCTACATGACTGACCATTTACTCTTACAGTGACAGTTTAAGCCAGTCCTTTAAATAAAAGGTGATACACGAATTCATAGACAAATTCCAAAATGACATTTCAAATCTGATTAAATTGATGTTTGCATCAGTCCTTTAAATACTCCTGTATATCTACAGCATGGCTTCAATTGATGCTTCAAAACTACTTCAGACTGATCAGTCACTAAACAGTCCATCAGTACTACTACACTTCCCAGGAGAAAAGTGTGGTACAAAAGTGCCTTTTCCTTACTCCTTCAGCCCTAAGGGCTGATTGGATAGGCAACCTCCAATTTGCTCCACAAGTAGCAGTGTAACACTGTGTCACAAAGTTACCAAAGAAACAACAAACCTTCTGGACTAACCTAAGGAAATCCTTGAAGCCCAATGACCCTTGGAGACCTCTGCACTACCCCAACCTTCCTTGGCTACACCTATGTTCAAGCCCCAAGGATAACATTCACTCACTGGCACACATCAAAGCCTCCAAGTAAACCTCAAAATTCCTCCACTAAGCAGACAAGGTCTTAATCTCACAGCCAGTCAAGATCTTATTTCCATATACTGAATTTGCCCTAGATGTTGCAACTGTTGTCATATGTTAACATCCAACCACTTTGTGCTCTTGCCCAAACTAGTCCTTACTGCTTTCCATTCTCCTCATTATTAACCTTCTCTGGCATAGTATAGCCTTCAATATGCCACACACTCTAAAGTTTACTGGAAATATGTCTATGTTGTTTTTGCACTCACTCCGTCAAAGAAACTATTTTTAAATTAAAATGGCCTTTGAGTGTAAATTAAATAGTAAAATCCTAATTATCTGCAGGCATTTTAGCTAAACTGTTGTTTCTGAGAACAGTATTTCCTGGGTAATTTGGGGCCAGAATAGTGACTAGCACAAAGAAAACATTACACAAACCAGGCTACTCTACTTCCAGGACCAGCTCAGCTCCAGGAGCAATACAGCTGCTGCTGCTCTGTACAAGGTTTAAAGTCTGTGGTACTTCCCATGCAAAATCCTATTAGATGTGTCCAAACTTCAGGTTACTGACTCAGAAATAAAAGGTTCATCAGCTCAAAATCAGAAATTAGGGTTACTAAACCCTACTACAGCAAACTGATGTAGCGTAGCTTCCCAGCTTCCCTCGATTTTTCTACCTCTTGTTACTTCAGATGATGGAGACTTAACAGGAACATAAACAAGCCCACATATGCAAGTCAAAAGTGTAAAAAAAAAACAGTGAGCCTAAAGCCATTAAAAATCCCAGCATATTGAAGTGTGGGTGAAAGAATACTATAGGTATGAGTGACTCCCATTCACTGGTGCACAATAACATTCCTCCAACTGCTTACGAATGCACATGAATGTCAGACACTGACTCCATACAACTAAATTGGTTAGCAGAAGCCAGGTAACAGACTGAATTTCACTGTCGCTAGAAGTCTCTTGTGCATCATGAGCACAACTTCTTCAGGTTTTATATCTGCACTCAGTTTAGGCCCATTCAAGATGACCGTTCATGTCAACATGAATGAAATCCTAGAGACACCAAAAAATTGCTGCAGTTTTGCATACCAGGAGCACGTCACCTACATTAAGCTTTTTACTTGTACTACAACACACAGAGCCATTTTGGGGCTGAGAAAAAAAGATTTTCCCACTCCATCCAAGCTTGCATTCTCACCTTGACTCTTTTCCAGCAGAGATGCAATCACAGCTTCATTTTCAATAGGGTTCAATGAACATGTGGAATATACCATTCTCCCACCTTCTGCAAGCTGTTCAACACCACGGGTTGCAATTCTTAACTGCAATCTAACAGAATACTCTTGGTCTAGCCAGGTATCATTTAGAAGCAAGAAAGATTTGACATGAAATTTCTTATAGGTGAAGTTATACTACAGACACAACTCTCCATGGGCTAAGCCAGCACTTACTGAGTTCCACCCCTGTTACCAGTACACAAATTGATGTCAGTTTTAAACTGTCAACTTAGAGCAGTCACAGTAACACTACTGCATAACTTTTAACCTAACTTTCTGTATTTCATTTCTAGTGCTCCATCAAGTTTATTACAAACTACTTAACACTAGAAAACATACCACTCCAAACCCAACTGTTATTCTCAGAAATCACAATTAAAATGAGGAGCAATTAAAATATTACAAATATTATGGACACACAGTAACACAGCTTAACGTTGGCCTTCTGAGAAAAGTATCACCATAGGTCAGCTGAATCACAGTAACTGACAGCATTTTCAGCTTGTTACAAATGCACAGTAAAATGTTGTCATCTTTTTAATCTGTGTTTAAATTACTGCTTTTTACCATGTGCCTGCATTAGGCTAAGTACTCATTCAACACCCATTAACATAAATCAGTCTCAGGTAACTGAAATCACTTACGCATGACCTCTAATATTCTAAAGACTTTAAAACATTACTATTAAATTTTACAAGTTTCTGTTTTCTTCTGAGGGCGTTTTATTTGCCTAAATGCTAAGAATTTCAGGCAAATTATTTGTTCCCCGTTTTATTCACTACCTTGTATAAATTAATTCAACGAACATTAATGTCAGTCATTCATAAGAATACAAGCCATTTGGATTCACACACTCCTCTCATCTGAAACACCACTTTCTCTGAATAGCACATAAGCTCTTGATTTGATAGAAAAGTGACTTCTTAGTCTCTGCTTTGTCATATATTAACATGTGAATGCATGCAGATGTTAAAAGATATGGAAAAAGGAGAAGAGAAATGAAAGTGCAGATGGGTAATAGCCATTTTTTACCCATGAAGCTGCAAACTGTTTTGTGTTGTCCACTTCTTCCATACATCAATGTTTTTCCTCATGGTTCCATCTCCACTGTAACAGAGATTGAACAGATTTGTATTATATGCAGGTAAAACTAAATTCATAACCAACTCGTTTATAGCAGAAAAAAAAAAATCAACAGTCCCTCTCCCATGTTAACTAGTTCTCTTACACTGTACTGTTTCTTTCTGCACTATTTTTTTGTATTTCAGTATCCTAAGTATCAGTTTGAAATGAGAAGCCCTTTAGCTCACCAAATTTAAGTATGACTTGGAATGGAAGAAGTTCACCTTGATTTGGTATCCCCCTACTTAAGACAGACTAACTATTTGTTTTGGTAGCTACTACAAATCATAACTAAGCAACTCAAAAACTCTGAGTAACACAAAAATTCTACCACTGCACTTAACAGTAAAATCTGTATATTGAAGATCACATGCAAGATACCTGCAGGGGACATCACATAAAATCCTGTCATAAAAGAGGACTTCTTTTCTTCCATCAACATCTATTTGTAGATTAGGAATGCTGGAGGCATCATGATTTACCACCATGATGCAGGGACTGTTTAATCTCTTAGCCTGATGAACCAGCAAATAGCAGCGCTTGTTGTCGACATCATTAGCAATTACAAAACCCTCTGGGAACATAAAATAGGGAGAAGACACTTTTCAGCAGCTAAATAATTTTACATTGTTTTTTGCCTTATCTTCAAAGTTGTGTAAATCTTTTACTAGAGATTTCTACCTAAAAGACTCCTTACAAATAGAGGATCCCTTACTGAACACAAACTAGCATAAAGCACAATGAGTTTTAACTGATGTGCCAAATACAGTCCCAAGAGTTCTAGCTCATCGTGGCAGTAAGACATAAGCAAGGGCCCTTAAACTTTCAAACTCAAATTAAAACATTTGCCACAGAAAAAACCTCCACTGCCACCACAGACAAATCTCTGTACATCAACAGATTTTCAGTAGCGTGCAGAAAGAGAACCTACTCCCTGCAACTTCTGTTTTTATGGGCAGTATTTTCTGTGTGCATCTAGCTGAAAGTAAGGATTCCAAAGCTTAAAAAAAATAAATATAATGACCATTTGAAGGCTAAAGCATCTTAATGCAGTGTTTGCAAGATACCACTAAAACACAAGGGCTCATGGGCCACCATTTGCTCAGTAAACCTGATTTATGTGCAAAAATTAAGCTCTGATCACAGCTATTGTAGTCTGAACTGTGAAGATACATATCTAATCCATCAAGCCTTCATTCAGGACAAGGAAGCCCACAAGACTTCAAGGAAAAGGTGGGATACTCCCCATCTTGTATCACTTAACCACTCTGGGAATTCAATATGCAGTCAGATGCAGCTACTTATGTACGATATTAAAAATGTTCTGCAAGAAAGAGTGGAAATTCCAAGTCACAAAAGGTTTTTTTGTATTTTTTCCAGACTTACTGGGAAAAGGAACATTCATGTCTGCATGCAACATTTCAATGAGCTGTGCAGTCTTAGATCCAGGTGCAGCACACATATCTAGAATCTACAAAGACCAGAAAATTAAGAAGTCCCATCTCAAAATTTTTAAGTACTTGAGATATTTCTATTCTTGTTTATTAAATAAAGTATTTTTGCATACACTTGCAGAATTACCATTTTTATGAACACAGATTTCCAAAAACATAAAGGTACAGTTGTTCTTTGTAGGCTTTATCTCTGAGGGCCTAAAATATAAAAACAACTTGCGTTTGTAGTAAACAAATATATAATCTGGAAAAAAATCCTGAAACAGAAAGAAGTGTGAATATAGGCGTGGGGATACGATCCTTTTATCAGCTCACAAGTAATTCCGACTGAAGTTAACTGGAACTTCACATAAACCCACAGACATCAATGGCAAAGTTACATTCAAGAAGAATAACTATCATTTAATTAAGCAGACACTATTTGACACAGTTGTTTATATACTTTGAATAAAAATTAACTGCTACCCCTTCCTACACAGTTGCATTTTAATGCAAAAAAATCAGGGCAGCATAAAGTGCTCGTTTCTACATCCTGGAAGAAGCACTTTGGAAGTATTTGAACTGCCCTCAGGCAGTAGGACAGGACAGACACCAACACTTGATTTCCAGCATATTTCTGTCTCCTGGTTTATCACAAACTTGGCTTGTGATCAAGTCATTCACAGAGTCACTTTCACAGCAAAGTATTTCACAGCTAACACTGTTTCTATAAATAAGGAAGCTTAGTCTTTCCTCTCATCTAGTTACAGATTTTCAAAAACATTACTGTCTTCTGGACCTTTAGCTCCAGTAAAAGCTGAAATCACGTAACAGGATAAAAGACAGGGATGGATCTGCTCAGATCCTCAGGCAAGTCCCTGACAGACCCCAGAAAAATGCAAAGAGCATTTACTGAGAGCTCCAGAGCATATGATGAGTGGTGTCAGGAAACAGTATTAACATATCATGAAACATGCTCAGTAAGACAGTGTCATATTTGCTGTTTAAAGGAACAGTTATGATGTTTCTACTTACTCTTGTATATAATGCAAAATACAAGAATAAGGAAGCCTAAACATTCTCCAAAGTTGTCCAGCAAGCTGATGGTGAGGGAAAATTAAACTGTGAAAAATCAATTAAAAATGAACACAACTACAGAGAGGTTTGACAGCCATAAAGCTGATCCTTGGGTAAGCCAGGAATCAGCCTATGAGACATGACATACAAAACTTGCTGGTTAAGCATGAAAAGTAACCTGCAATTCTGATCATAACAAGCAGCTCAGAAAATAAGTCACTAAGGACAATAAAAGGTCCTAAATGACAAAAGCAGCTCTTTACTGTCTTGTCACAAGAGACGATAAAGGACCCACTCTGAGTCTGACTTATCAGCAAATCTGTGAAATCTTATACACGTTTCTAGAAAGCGTTTGCTGAAATACAGTGACAAAGTCAAACATTTAACACAAACAACGTTAGACAGCTGAAAAAAGCAGATGTTCCTCTGGCAGCATGTTAGTGATCTGAACATCAGTCGATTCTTGTTATTTTTGTGCAGGAAACAAAACATACCACCACAATACAAAGTTTTGTATAAGCATTGACATTGCTGTTGTAATTCGCAGTTCAATCAGACTATTCTCTGGGGAAAAAAAACCTCTAGTACACAGTATATTCCAGAGTTACCTTATGGTGAGGGTTAACATCAAGCAGCAGAGGTGGGATCATGCTGACAGCCTCCTGACGACTGATATTTCCCTTGAAAGTAAAAAAAACCAACAAAATCAAACTCCTCCTTATTCCACAAAAGAATGCATTTCATTTGCAACAGGATTTTTACATTTCTATGTAGCAAAACAGTAAAGTCATCAAAATCGCACTATTATAAACTTAGGAATAAATTCTGTCAGCATTTAACAAATCAAATGAACAACAAAAAAATCCCGCAGTATTTCACCCCACTGAAGTTTCTTATAAGTTTATAATTATTCTACTTCATTTAACCCACAGATGTAGTTTCTGCTCAAAAGAGATGAGAAGCTGGCCTCAACTCAGTGAAAAACATGCACCCCTGATGATAAGTCTTGTTATGTGCACTTTTAAGAAGATCTAAACATCTATTTTCCACCAGATTAAAACACCTAGATTTAAAACATTTATTTTCTAACAGCAACTAATTATTTTACAGGGCCTCATATTCCCAAATAAAAAAGTACAGTTAGTTTAGGAGAAATACTTGTAACTGCAGGTATGTACCAGAGTTCTGGAATAAATCATTGTCAACGGCAACGTAAATTCCAAATTCTTCTGAGCTGCTCCTAAGAGAAAGGTCCAGTCTCTGTTTCTTATAATGCATTTAAATAAAGCCCTGCTTAGGATGTGAAAGTGAGAAAAAAAAAAATCTATCCAACACTTACACATTCTGTCTCGCTAACCAGAAACTGATGAAACTTTTCAAGTTCTGGTGACTTGCGTAAGATTTTTCTGCTCAAGTTCGTGTGCCAGGCTAACTCTTCTGGATACCTGGGGGAAAAGAGACGGGAAAGGGGAGAAGCAGTGGCAAAAGTACAGAAAGCAATTCACCACGCCTGGTTCCGGGAACACGCAGGGCGCCTTATTTCACTTCCACTCCGTTTACCAGCTGAGCGACTGTGGCATTTCCACCTTCTGGCCGTCCACCTCCAGGTCCTGCAGCTCTCTGAAGTACTTCTCCTTCAAGCAGTGAAGAATCTCCTTGGCGTGGCTGCAGGGGAGAGAGACGCGCGGGAGAAGGCCGGACGGAGACGCACCTTCTCTAGAGGCCAACATCGCGATCCTGCCAGGCCCGGGTTCCCGGCACCGCCGCCCTGCCCCTACCTCC